CCGGAGAACTATGCTCACGCAGCGAGAGTAGCTTCCTTAGCACAATTGATGGGTTGAAAATTACATGTGCAAACACTGGAGTCGGTAACGTGCATGACATAATGGGACAGGTAGAGGCTGCGACTTGGAAAATTGGAGCGTATTGCAGCCGCAGGGCATTAGCTGCTTCTTCGACGCCTTGTACACTAACGTCTGTCGTATAAAGTGAAGGGATTCTATGCTTCACTTTCCCCTTTTTGATATGCCCATATTGCAGTTTGTTGTTAGTCATGAAATTTTGGCTAGGCAGAGTTGATAAGTTAATTTGTCCTCACGAATAAGCGCAGTGCAGTGGTTGTGATGGGTCAGGAAATTGCCCCAAGTCTCTGAGTTGTCAGAACAAGAGTCAGCGAACAAGCTCGTTTTCGGTGGATCCCGTCAGGCTGGTACACCAGAACTAATAAGATTAAAAGTGAAAACATCAGAAGGGAGTAAAGTTCAAAGAGTAAAATAAAAGGTCTAGGTCATCTAACTGACAAGGTCAAGTGCTTGGTTCACAAACGGTCAGTGACATGTCAGTTGCATGTTTCTCAGCAGGGGTTACTTTAATAGGGGGCCAGGGAAGAGAGAGAATCTGAACGAATTTTTTTTGTGCACATAGGTCTGGGTTCTGAAGAAGGATGGCGATGGCTTCTGCTGTTGCTAATAGGCGACATCTTACCGCTCGTGTATAGCATCCAGATACGCTGTAAATTGGCTGGAAACTTTGGTGCCTATCGATCCGGTGGTTAAAATCAACTAGACGTGCCAACACGGTGCTTGTCACAGTTTTGGTTCTACCTGTACACAGCTAGCTCGGGTAATGCTCACGGATTCTCTCAGACAGTCTCCTGGTTATTCTTCCGATATAACTTGTTCGACATGAACAAGTAAAGGAGTATACACAGAAAGAAGTACTTGACCGAGGAAGTCTGTCCTTGAGTTAAAGCCTTACGATTGGTGTTGAAATAAATCTTAGTCTTAAGCTTGCCGCGTAGTACGTACGGTTTATGGCGTCGGATAGCCTTCTAGACGTTGCCTGCGCTATTCCATCCCCTTTGAACGGCAACGACAGATAAACCAATTTCTTTTCAACCGAATCGGTTTTAGCCCTCGATTCTCGGCACTCCATATTTCTCCGTACAAACTTTTCGGGATAGCCGTTTCTCTCAAAAAGGCCAGCCAAGAAATTCAACTCGTCCGAAAGCGTGTCCTCACTTCATATCCTCCTTGCCCTTTCGGTTAAACATCTAATCAAGTTCTGTTTCCGACTTAATGGGACAAAGCTGGCAAAATGTATGCATTGTCCATTCCACGTGGCTTTTTTGTGCACCCTGCGTTGGATCGACCCATCTGATCTTCTGCTAATTTGGACGTCTAGGAAAGACATCGTACCATGACATTCAGATTCCAAGGTAAACTTAGCGTTGTCATGCGCTGATTTAAAAAGGGATAGAATTTGCTCTGTGCAGCATTGACTGTCTGTCACACAAAATATATCATCCACATATCTGCCGTAATAGGTTACTACGCTAATGACTCCGCTCAGGTAGTTGTTTTCTAATTTGCTCATGAATACATCTGCCAACAGCGGTCCTAGCGGTGAGCCCACCGTTACTCCGTCTTTTTGTCTGTATATTACCCCATTAAACTGAAATTTTATGTTGCTAGTACACAGCATGAGCAGCTGTTTCAACCGATTGTTCGACAGGCCGACGTTCAACTGATGTGCTCGAATGATGTCGCATAAATAGTCTATTGTCTCTTCTAAAGGAACATTCATGAAGAGCGACACAACGTCTAACGAAAACATTTTTCTTCCGGTTAGGTTAAGATGTTTTATACTGTCTAAAAAGCTGAATGTATCACGGAGACTATACATGGATAAAACTTTTCTTACTGGTTCTAAAATTTTGACTAGCCACTTGGCTGTTGCGTGGTAAGGTGAGTTGCACATGTCCAATATGGGTCTAAGTGGAAGCCCCACCTTATGTACCTTTGGCAGGCCATAAAGTCTCGGAATTACCGTCCCCGTGGGTAGAAGTTGTTCGAACGTGGTAGAGTCAATTGAGTTTTCTTGATTCAGTTGCCTCAGAATCCTAGTAACTGTCTTTTCTATTGCCGCTGTTTTGTCCCTCTCATTCTCCATTTTACGAAACTTTGAGCGATCGCTGGGATGACCTCCATCTTGTCAATATAGTCAGCTTTCTCCATCAGAACGATCCCTGCCCCTTTATCCGGCCTAGAGAGTAGCACATTCTCGTTTTGTTTGAGTGTTTTGAGAGCGTCTAGGTGGTCTTTCTTCAACAAGTACCTGAGTTTGGGTTTGTGCTTCAGATACTGATAACATGCATTAACCAGGATAGATTTAACATGCTGGGACGCTAATGCTGACAAAGACGTAAGTGTAGACATTTGCGAATACATATTTTCGTACTGTACCTCTAATTCTAATTTTACTGAATAACTAAGGGGACAGCAAAACTTCGGACCAAGTGAAAGTACCTCTGAGTTGTGGTTAATGTTGTAGGCATGCCATCCTTCATCCTTTTTCGCCAGGCATTTTCGAGTCCTGCTCCTTAGAATTGAAGGCATTTTTACGGGACGAAGGTTCCTGGTCTCTGACGCTCTGTTGACGATATCGCGGAGTCTATAAACGAACTCTGTCCAAACGTTGTTAAGGGGCCTGTTGTTTGTGAATTCCCAAGCAGATGCGTCGGCGAGTTCTTTCAATACGTGGTAGCGTCTGGTTGTATTAGTTGGTTCCGAGTGTTCAGACGGATACTCTGCATAACACACATAGTTAAACGTTATTACTACATAGTCACTGAGACCTAATGCACTATCCATCAATAAGTTGTCAACCACGAGCTCTTCATTCGTGAGCACAAGGTCCAATATGGACGGTTTGTTTGCTGTCCTGAATCCAGTGGGCGTGGTGACATGATTGTACAAGGTAATATTAGCGATCGGTTCATTAAAGTTTGCTTTGAACTGCTCACTGGGTGATGCCGATACCTCCTGATCGTGTGGATTGAAGTCCCTGGAGATGCGAATGCGGCTGCACATAGTGGGTGTTACTCTGTTCAGGCCAGGGATCAAGCGGGAATCTATTTCCATAGTGGACTTTGGGGGGCGGTAAACCACATCTACATGCGTTGTTGTGCCATAGTCAGAGACGGGCGCAGAGTGGGTCGGTAACGTGTGTTTCCAGATCATCAAATATCTTACATTGTAGATCGCTGCGGTAGTAGAGTAGGACCCCCACCTCCTCTGCTGGGGCGGTCGTTTCGGATGAGTGACATAACGACTATCTGAACCTCGGCATCAGTCACCTCCTGGTGTAACCGAGTTTCGATAATGGGAAGTAGGTCCAAACATTCGCAACCTGACATAGCTGAAGTTCAGTAAGTTTATTGAGGAGCCGTTGGGCCTTAGTATACATACATGAAAGGTTCTCAGATTTAAGTAATGTTTCGTGGATTATACAAATCATACGTAAAGTTTCGCCGACCATTGAGTGGCCGGCGATTAATCGGTTTCTCGTTGTGTACTTGGTGAAGGGAGTAACGTCTTATTCATCGTCCGTGTAGTTAGTCCCGTGTCTAACTTTCTACGTAGAATGTGAGGTGTCGGGTCAATGTCATTTTCTACAGGTTGTATGGGCTCATTCGACACACTACTGGTGCATTGTTCTTTCATAAATCCCATCGCATTTGGTTCGCTGATTGACATATCATCTCTAGGAGACATATCGCTGCTTGTCTTCAGTCAAAGTTCAGATAGTAGTCTGTAACTAAACATGCACCAGTTGACGTCATCTATCTGGACTTATCCAAAGTTTCCGACCGCCTTGACCACCGTATCCTACTTCAACGGCTTCAGAGTTACGGAGTCATAGATCCTGTACTTGGTTGGATTGGCAGGTTCCTTCACCAAAGGAAGCTTCAAGTACGCGTTAGGTGATCACTCTGTAACCCAACTGAGGTGGAATGTGGTGTCCCACAAGTCTCAGTGCTGGGACCGCGCTCATTCCTGGTATTTATCAACGACCTGGCATCAGTTATCTCCCCAAATTTTCTGCTTTACTCAGATGACGTCAAGATATGGCGAACGATTAGTAACAAGCCAGATCACCATCTGCTCCAACATGACTTAGATTGCATTTACGAATGGTCAAAGAGGAAAAAGCTTCAATTGAACACAGCTAAGTGCAAGGGGATACATCTGCGTCACTCGCCGGTGAGCGCTTACAAGAGTGGAGACCACACCATGGCGAAGGTCTCTCAGGAGCGTGACCTGGGTGTATTGGTACAAAAAGATCTCGGGTGTTCAAAACAAGCAGAGAAGGCGACGAGAACCGGAAATCAACACTTCGGCCTTCTTCGCAAGGCCTTCGGTCGGTTTGAACCATCAATATTTCCCCAAATGCTTAACGCCTACGTGCGACCTCACATGGAATATGCTATTCAGGCGTGGAAGCCCTGGAAGAAACAGGATCTCGTTGCTCTCTATACTCCTCAACGAAGGGCAACCAAGAACGTCAGGGGCCTCTGTCATCTGCCCTATCAGCTTAGACTGAAATCTCTAAGAATGTACAGCAGTCGATATCGGCTTTTGCAGGGGGATCTCATAATGGTTTGCCAGATTCTGAAGAACCCAAACCACATTTGCCGACCGCTGTTGGAATTGAACCACAACACTAAACTAAGAGGTCATCATCTGAAACTGACAATTTAATATAGCCGGCTTGAATGCCATAGAAATTTCTTTTTCCTCCACGCGTGCCAGCCTTGGAACGCTCTCCGTAATTATGTCGTCTCTGCTCCCAATCTGGAGATATTTAAAAAACGAGTTGACGATGCATTGTCTCACTTACATTTCATTTTATGACTTATTAGCCAGTGGCTATAAAACGCTATCAAACGGTGTCTTGCCAAACTCATAACCAATGGATTTATGGATTTATGCGTTTAATACGCGAACATCTCCGCTATTCTAAATAAGTCTATGGTGAGTCCACCACAACGCTTTTCACTTTATCATGTAAGTGATTTTCACAATAATTTCCATCCCACTGGACTTGTTAAGCAATGCTTTTTACCAGTAATAAACCATTGTTCCATTGTTCCATTTTTAGCAGCCGTGCATCCATATGCTTTGTCTGAATTACCACCTCAAAACTCTGGGGCCACTTCCTTTGTAGTTCGGTGAAGTACGCAGTCGTGACACGGATTTCGCTAACGCATCATCCATGCAGAGTGTTTCACGAATACAACACCACTGTTCTTTATCATGGGTGATTACTTCATGCTCAACACACGCTTCACTTTCAGGAACTCAGTGAAGAAGCATGGTTTTGGTTGAAGTTTCCTTCCGGTAGTCCTTTAAGGTGCAGTTAACTCGATAACCCTCGCTCCATCGGATGTCTGGAAAGTTACGGATGGAACAGCGTTCATAGCTGAGACAATCTGTCGACAATAGTACTGATTCTACTTCAGTGATGGAATTCAGCACAAAACGCAGTAGTCTTGGCTCTCCGAAATTCTTAAATTTGGGGTGTCGTATAATACACATTACGTGTACAGGTTTCAGTACAAGTCCGATAAGGTTAATAACAATGTCCCACTGGTTGAGATCAACCAACTGGCAGGCTGTTATTGATGTCGACTTTGATTCTGGAACATTGGAGCACAGAACGCTCAGTACCGGTAGTTGTTTCTTTACACCTTTCGACATGTCGCAGTTAGTGGTTGAAGTACTCCGACATGAACCACGGGAAACCGGTGGTGCTTGCACTAGGCTAACTCCGCTACGCTCCTCAGTTTCCGATCCAGTTGGGGGCGATGTTAATTTTAAATGACGGTGCTTCTTGGAGGCAAATGTAACCCAAATTTCGCTAGTAGCGGCTTGCTCTTTTTCTACCCACTCCCTAGGGAGTTTGGGAGTAGCCTTACATTCAGTTACTCCGATCGAACTGGGAGCCGCATTAGGCAAATGTGGTCCACGTGTGGTATTGAGACAGCTGTTAAGGTTCTGGACTCGTGGTGTCGTGTTACTTATGTTGTTGTTAGCAGTTCTTCGCAGGCTAGGAGTAGCAACCAAGGGGGAGGATTGGGTTGCACAGTCCGCTATACTTACCCCAACCGTAGTGATTTTGGTGTCACCGCTTCCTCAAACTTGGCTAGTAGCTGGTCATACTTCTGAGATAATAGGAGCACGCTTTTTATCAGTGGGATCAATGTGCATTTCACACAAAATCATAGAGAATCTGGTTTGTTTAATAACTTGGCCTGACTAGGTTTAATTCGGAGGCATCTCGCATGGAAAAACTTGCAACAGTTACGGCACAAAATGTCCCCCTTAACAAGTTTGGAACATGATCCACATAGGTCTTTAGACTGTGGCACACTGGGCATCGCGCTTGTTGGGCAAATGTTACGAACCATTTGAATGACTCATCCTCTATGGTAAAAGGTTGTTCTGTTCCTGACGTTGTCGGTAAGGTCACAGTGTTCACGTTGCAGTTGTGTGCTTGCAGACTGTCCTCTCTGGCGCGCCAGTCGAATGTGTCAGCTTGACCGTGGGACAGAATACACTAAAGTGTGATTGCGAATTTTCGTGCTTAAACCCTATGGATCGTGCCGGGTGAATTTGCCTTGGGACCTGTAGCTGCACCAAGCAATGTTGGATTTGAACGAGTGACAGTTCGCTCGAAAGCCGTTTAACGACGAATGTTAACAACGATAGTGTGGTGCGTCCGGATACGAACACGAAGCGTGATAAAGCAACTTTCATAATACAAATCATTTTTAGTATGAAATAATTCAGTAATAATGTGCCCACTGAACATAAGAAGTTAACCCGATCCGAATAAATGTACTATGAATATGCTAGGCGTCGAATTAAAGGCGAAATTCCGTGACAGAGTAGAGTACCTTTACTATGCTCATGAGAGGGAACGTGAACTCCGAACTCTGACCACTAATTTTCCTTGCTGGGAAAGTAGGTTATTCGGTTTAACAGTGGGTCAATGATTCCGTAATATTGGGCTTGGAAAGTAGCATCCCGTGATCTAAACGATGGACTGCCTTTGACCAATCCAAGTAGATAACATCGTGGCCTCTCCAGCGTCAGTTAACTCGATCAAAATACTCCGTCCGATTAATAAATTCGCTGTGCTTGAGTCGCAAACCTGACCCGGTGCCTGTGTGCAAAGAGCTCACAGAAACAAACCTCTTAAGCAGAGTCGTTATCTCGCTCAACGCTATCCATCAAGTAATCGAATTAATCAGGCCATCTTCCAAGCTGAGTTCTGACGGCATTTTACCAACCACCATTAAACTAGGAGGACCTGATAAACAATTGCTATTGATGAGCATGTTTGCCATATCGCTGGAGCCTGGCCACTTCCAGACAATTGGAAAATCTCATTTATTACGGCGGCATAAAAGAGGGCCCAAACAAATGATTGATCCTTACCGACCAATCCACCACACTTTGATAATCGCTCGGCTATTTGAAAGCTGGTCAGAAGGGAGGTGATGAGCTTTATTTATTCTGTTGGTCTGACCAATAATTCGCAGCATGGTTTTCTCAATAAGGGATCGTGCACCAACTATCAACAGCATTACCTTAATCACATCTCAAAAGCAATCGATTCCGGTTATGCAATAGTAATTTTGTTTGTTGACATACACCAAGCGTTCGAAGGAGTACCGCACTAGTGACAGTTACCTAAGTAGGAGAAATTTGGGATTCTGGACCCACTACTAGGTTGGCTATCGTCATACCTGATTGATGGTCATCAGGTAGTCACTTTAGGTGATTATCGCTCTTCCCCATGCTAAAACACCAGTGGAGTACTCGGCCCCTTACTCTTTGTGCTCTACAGCAATGACATCACCACATCTGTAAATCATGGTACATCATTTTTATTTGCTGATGATGTCAAACTAGTCTATAAGTTCCGAAGTGACGAGCTTCACTGGACATCACTGCTCATTCAAGATGATTTACATTCCCTTGACTCATGGTGTTGGACATGGGAGATGAATCTCTGGGCTAAAAATCAAGCATCATATCTTACGACTGCCGTATCCCTGAAAGATCTATCACACTAAACAATGAAAGTGTCTCTACACAGTTGTCCACGCGAGATCTTGGAATTAAGTACTCGTTTACCTTCATGTTTTCCGACCAGGCCCAATACAAAGTAGCACGTGCCAGCCAGTCTATGTGTAATATATCAAACAAAATGCACACAACTCATGCTATAGTTGAGCTTTTCAAGCTACTCATTCAGCCGATCCTCGAATACTGCAGCATAATATACGGAAACATGAGAAAGAGTGACCGAATTGCAGTGGAGAACCTGCAGAAATCATCTACTAAATATCTGATTGGTAAACACTCTGCTATGAGTTATCGAGAAAGTTTCAATAACTTCATGTCGAACCACTTTGGGTTCAACGATTGATTCACAACTTGTTGCTGATTTTCAGCGTGTTACACAAAAGACCTATTGCAACCTGCCTACACTTAATCTACAACGTTAAGCAATTCGAGCGCTTCACAACAAATATTTTACCTTGAATATACCGAAGGCTAGAACGGACATCGGTTCTAATTTCTTCCCGGGCAGATACAGCTATGGAATAAACTACCAATAACACTCATGTCTTGTAACAATGTGGCAACATTAATAGCAGACTCCCCAATTACCTTTTCTAAAATCTATATTCGCCTGGGAAAATTCCCCCGATGAGCTATTGCAAGAGCGGCCCAAAAACATATAAACACCAATGTTTACATAACTAGGCGTTGTCCTCAAGCATCAGCCAGAATGTTAATACATGAAACGCATATCGCAATGCTCCACCTAGGCATGTCACCCACGTAACAGCATGGATTCTTCTGTAAAAATTGATCTGTGCCGCTATAGACACAGTTACTCTCATCAACAGAAATATATACCTGTTATTACTATTATTAGCATTATAAATCCGGGTTAATCGGGAGCGTTAATGCTATTATTTTTTTAGCTGGCACACCAACACATGGGCAATAGTGAATTCCATTCACTTAAACAGTACAGGGAGAAAGGACACTAGGCCGTAGTTCCGTGGCTCAGCCCCGCTTCCACAATTGATATTGTGGTGTACTTGACACGGAAATAAGCTGCAGGGTACGCAGTGGCACTGGGCAGTCTTTGAGCGATGCGGTCGGTTATTGCGTCCTTGTGGCTGGCTAGTTGAACAAACTCCTCCTGGTTCCTACTGGATGGTCCGAGTTTGCCCTGTTCCAGCACATAGTTCAGCGGCTGTGTTCCAGGTCCTGGTGAGCTTTTGCCTGGCAAGCATTCACTCTATAAAAAACCACAAATGTCTGCTTATTAACACTGTGACTTGGCGGTTGTGACTCGTAACCAACTAAAGTCACCCCTTGCTTATCCGGACAACCGCTTCAAGTCCATAAACTTCAATCAAACATATAGCACTGGCGACACGATCAAAATTCAGGAAAGCGGTTACGAAGCCCATAAACAAGGCTACACACACCAGTTGTTTGGCGGCATCCGGTTTCGGATTTGCCTGTCACTGTGGCAAGCCACAGGACGCCTGCGCATACAAAGGGACCATGGATGGCCTTCGCTGCACCACCCACAGCTCCAACCACACACCCCATATCCAGTGTAAACCCGAACGAATAAGACCGGGAGGCATGAGGATGGGAACTACGTTTCATCAACGGAGCCGGCCCACACTCCTTCACAGCCAAACACAGGCACGCTGTATTTGGGGAATCAAGCGCACACAAGGCGGTGGCTGGACCGTAGTCCGCTCCACACTGAGTGCATGGAACCACTCTTTGATCCTAACACGGCCACAAGGACCGTGGACCCCGTCCCCTCCAGCAACGACCAACTGTCTCCTGGAGCCAGATGGACGAGACAGTGGGTAATAGACAGGTAGGCACCTTGTCAACATGCACATCAAGCGCATCCACACCGG